TTTGTGTGTACTGTACTATATCTAACCTTTTGTGTTTACACTGCTTGCGAGGAGGGGGCATTGTTTATGAGGGGCACCCCCATCCAATTGAGCGATCCCAGATTTCTGGGTGGGCACTTGAGCCACAGTAAAAACGTATTGGGTATGCCGAAATTTGAACCCAGCCCTTGTTGCTGCCAACTAGTACCTCACACAAGAGGTGCGGCACATGGCAGCATTGAGGACGCTATACAATCTACTACACTGACCTGCCACCAGCCAGCTTCTTGGGGCAGCAGGGTATCGGTCTCTGCATCTTCCAGCCTTAGGCAATGAGTTCTTCCCACCAGCTTCCCAGTCAAGTCCCTTCCAAAACAAAGCCTCCCTCACCCACCTCCACACAGTCTCACAGCTGGGTGCAAAACTTGACCTGTAGCTGAAACTTGCTCTTACAATGATAGTGTCCGAGGTCTTCATCCCATGCAGAAGGATGGCCACCAGTGTGAAGACAAGCATGAGAGGCCCGTAGAGCTCACCTGCAATCTTCTACAGGGGGAGACAGACAGGGAAGGGGCTTGGTAAGTGCTGTATCACACCGAACAAGGGACACAGCAGGTGCCTCATACAAAGTTTGTGACCTGACCACTTGTTGACCTGAGCTGTTACTCTGTGAAGGCTGGTGACAAGGACAACACTATACCCACCATTTGATTAAGAGTCTATGAGGAAAGAGTACAGAGCTGCTGAGTGAGGCACCAGAACAGGAGCCTGGGTCAGTTCTGTCCCACTGCCCAAAGATATGATTGAGGAACTCGCATGAAACAAGGACTGTTGCACGTGTCTGACACAATGCTTTAAATTTAACTAACTCGCCACCCGTATAGCACTAGCTTTCCATTAACTGTGGGGAGACTGAGGCAAAACATAGGGCCACAGAAAGTCTATGTCAGACCTGGAATTTCCAGCTCTCATACAAGAGAAAACAAAGGCTGTTTATATCTCTGTTGGCAGCAATATATTTAACTGGCTTCTCTTTTTTAGCAAACTGGCAATTCAGAAAAGTCCCTGGAGAGGGGAGTAGGAGCTAGAGCTGAGTAACTGTGCCAGCTCTGCAGAGACAGAAGATGAAGCAAAGGTTTAATAAAGTCTCTGTAATAGCTTTTTTTTTGCTTCTCGTTAAGTGTTGAACTCCCAACAAGTATAGGTGCACAGCACACTGATAACAGCACTTGTCACCCTGCCATCTCCACTCCTGTTTATATGAATGAATTGTGTGTTCCATGGGCCCAAGGCCCATTCAGTTGGGATATAGAGGCTAATTCGCTGTGGGGAAAGCTTCCTTGGGAAAGTACTCACCTGTGGAAAATTAATCATCTTCACAGGGATCATGGACTCCAGCAACCTGCACCACACAGAGGTACACAAAAATGTCAAGAACAAAGAAGGTAACAGAAGAGGTTAACAATAAATCCAAGATGTGAAAATCCCTTGTCCCCCAATCCCTGAGCCAGCTAAGCCCTGAACCCAGGGCCAGATTGGAACCTGTGGTTCAGTGATGCATGACTCCATATCCTATCGTCCATCACAACCAAGCCAGCCAGTTCCCAGGAAAACTGGGGCACTGGTGGCAACACTGCCTCGAGGGAAAAAGCCTGTACTGCAATCCTAATTAACTGCACAAGCCAGTTCCTGAAAGGTGGCTGCCAGCCCAGTGGACTAAGGAAGGACTTGCCATCACAAGGGATGTGGGGATCAGCAAGACGTTATCAGAGAAGACCCCACAAAGCTTTGCCTTGTTGAACCAGCCACTTTGTGTGGCAGAGAGAGGTGGAGAAATCACTCGCTACACATCAGAAGAGGTGGGAAATGAGCACTACACAGACCAGAAGGTGCTGCTGAGTTCATGTCTGGAAACAGCACCAAGGACCTACAAACAAAATGAGCAGCCTTCCACTTTAAGGCTCTGCCAACACCGCTACAGCTCTAACAAGACAGCCCCTGTTCTACTCTCCTGGGGAAGCCTTTCCAAAGCATCCCTCACACTGGACACGG